AGTCCTGGAATGCAGATGAGGCCGACTAACGAAGGCTTTCAGCACAGGCAGCTGGTTTTTGCTTGCCTCAATTTCTAAATCATCCATAATGGGGCCAAGACCTCCCAAGCACTAAAAAGAGCGAGCTGACATGCTGGACAAACTGTTAATTTTTTCCTGAAGAAGCTGCTATATTGCACATCTGTCACTGCAGCGCAGACAATTACTCACTGAGTCGGGGAAAAAAAAATCTGCCGCTTGTTTCTAGCTGAGTTGTTAAGGGACCTAATGGAGAAATACAATGGTGTGGGAGTCAAACCATGCTGGCGTCCTTTGAGCTCCGCAATTGTTTTCTCATTTGGGAAGACTGGCTGGCCTGTGATATTAAAATGTCTGAAGATGTGTTTAAAAAAAAAAAAAACTAAACTAAAAACAAAACAGGAAAGGAATTAGAAGTGGCATAATAAAAGGATAGGTGTATGAAGATGCAGGTCAAGAACCCAGTCTTAGATTTTGGACCACTGTACTTAGTGCTGAGCCCTTATGAACATGATAGTGTATTAAAAATACTGTTTTAATACTGTGTTTTTCATTTACATTTCACACCTTTAATGGATACTCCCAAGTGCTCTAGCTAAACATTATTTTATGAATTTCATACCTTATATATGCATCATGGATTATCTAGTGTTTCCACAACAAATTATACCTATCAAGGAATAATTTTAGAATATCAGATTTGCTACCCAGTTATCTAACAGAATCTTCTCCTCCCCTAATTCATTTATTCATCATAACTAGGAAGTTCTGAAAGAAATTCACTGCAGTAAGAGACAGAAGAAATCTGTTTAGTTTTGGAAAGCATACAAAGGGACTTCAAAAAGTTCATGTAAAAATGAAAAATATGGGACCAGCAGGTGGTGTGGTGGTTAAGGCACTGGACCCCCACATGGACAACCGTGGTTTGAGTCCTGCCTGAACCTGGCAACTTGTTTTCTCATTTTGCCCTCTTTCTTTCTCTGGCGAGCACACACATATGCTTTATAGCACAAAAACAATAACAACAAAACAGAACCTTAAAAAAATGCTAAGTACGGGACCAGCAATTAGCGTAATGGCTTCATCGCTGGACTCCCATGTAGTTGACTGCAGTTTGGGTCCCGGACCTGGTGGCTTAAACTCACAGTGGGCACGTGTGCATGCATGCCCAAGATCCCGAGAGGAGGATGGAAGAAAAGGGACTGTGGCATGGCTATCTCCCATGGGGGGTGATTTCTTGCTTTTTGTCTCTCTCTGTCTTTCTGAAGAGAGCACGCGCCCTATAGCAAAAACCTCTCCAAAAACAAACAAACAAACAAAAAAAAAAAAAGAAAGAAAGAAAAAAATGGAAAGTACAAGTTTATCTTGTTGCAAAATTTTTTTTGAAATCCAAGCATTTCCAACTTTTTGAAGATTCCCCCTTCATAAACTGTGACTTAGTATACTCTCTCTCATTCTTTCTGCTTCTATTAAAAAATGCTGACTTCAGAAGAAATAACTATTTCTTACTAATTTAATAAGATACAAACAAAAAGAAATCTTAGCTGTTTTTTGGGGGACCATCATCGTTACCATCTTAGAGTCGAATAATACATACTCTTATAATGCTAGTGGCTTATTTTAAATGTTCAAACTAAGGGGGAAAAAATAAAGCCTAAAAATACACAAGAACATCCATTTAATTGTTACCTAACTTCATTCTTGAAAAATTAGAAGTAAGCACAGGACATTCTGATAATGCAACAAGAACTGAGCTCTGTGAATCCGAGAGTGATTTAAGCTGTCTGACAATTCAAAGACAGGAGACAACTCTAATGTACAGATAAAACTAAAAGTGGCAATAGTAGATCATACCCCTGGCAGTTAATGGCATTGACTCGCTAGAGACAAATCTGGATCTACTTAAAATGTCAGGTGTGTAAAGTAATGAGTCTTTGCTTAGTGGGAACCCAGCAGAAGGAGCCTTCATGGTCCACTTGTCAGTGAAGTATATATTACTGCAAGCCTGTTAAATAAATGAGTATTTAATACCTATTGGATTAAAAAAAATCCACTTACTTTAACAACTCTACTCAATTTTTGGGGAGAAAGGGTAAAATTTAATCAACATCGTGAAATGCCTCTTACAGCAAACAAAACTCAACACTAGTGAGTATTATAAAATTAAAAGAGTCAAGCAGGTTTATGAGAGGTACAAACTTCCAGAAGGAAATGGAGTGATTAGAACACACTTGAGTCAGACTGATATTTTAAATGGTCAGAGAGAATGAGAATGTGTTCCTTCCTACATTAGAATCATAGAATCCTGGAGTGGAAAGAGATCTTAAGCTAATTAGTCCAGACCAGCTTCAGAGAAAACAAAAACAGAAAAATGGTAGAAGAAGTCAAGGCCAGGTATGAATAATTTTGAGTCAAATATATTTACCAGCTTTTTTCTGATTTTTTTCTCCCCCAAGATGTTTAACTTTTCCAGGCCTTAAAAAAATAACAATGAATTTAACTGTACTATTAAATACTGTCAACGGATATAATTTTAAAACGACTGAAAAACAATTGCCAGAGGGTGCAGGAAACTGCCAGAGACAGAAAGAGAGAAAAAGAGCAAGTTAGAAAGTACCCACACCAAGGATAATGGTCACACAGGAATCCCATCCCTTCTAGATCTCCTTTCAGGATTTTGGGCATGCACATTGACCCAGCATGCTTCTCAAGCCGCCAGGTCCAGGACTTGAACTATATGATCGGTCATGTCATTTCCAGCTACCTTAACCACCTTAACCAGCATGCCATGGACTGATCCTTAGAAATAATTTTTTTTAATTTATTTTTCTTTCTAATTGTTGATTTTTTTTTTCTTTGCTATAGGGCACATGTGCTCACCAGAGTGAGACAGATAGAGAAGAAGGGGAAAATGAGAAAACCCCCCCGTCCCCCACCAAGGGAGATGGCCACATTATCATCCCTTTGCCTTCATTCTCCTCTGAGGATTTAGGGCACACATGCGCAGTTGCCTGGCATTTTCACCGTGGCATCTGGAACCCCAAATGCGAAGTTGGCCATGTGAGATCCAGCTGCCTTACCCATCACACCACCAGCTTCAAAACAATGTTTTGAAACCATGCTTTCAAGTTAACTTGTTTTGTTTTGTTTTGTTTTTACTTTAAGGTAAAAGAGAAACATTTAAGACACAAAGACAATAACTGCTTATCAATAACATTCTTAATCATTGTTTTATTCTTTGATTCTTTGTTATACTATTAATATAGTTTCCTATCAAAGGAAAAAAAGTCCAAAATGTTTCTTGCTAACAATTTCATTTTACAATACCAATTTGGGTCACTTTTCTTTTCGAGAGACAGAATACAGGTGAAGATGGCTTTAAAAAGCCTGTCAACAATGATTTTTCTCTTTTATGATATAACAGGTCAAAATGAAACATACTGAAGAGAAGCAACTGTCAGTTCGATTAATTACGATACCAATTCACAGTGTAAAAATACAGATAATAATAAAACGTGGTTTTCTGCAATCGTGTCTGTATACTGCATACATATGGGCATTGTAAACACACCTAACATGTACATATTGTGCATATCATCAACCCGACTTTACCTTCTGTTTGATAACCACATCCGGATTAGAAAACATATGTAGTCAAATACTTGAGATAAAAAAAAGGACAAATTTTAATTAGCTATGTATTTTCTTTTAAAGGGGCCCTATATAATTAAAAAATAAAAGCCGACTAATTTTGTGGAGACTGTACTCTTAACAGTTGTATTTTGGGGGAGAAAAGGAAGGAAGGAAGTGGCTCTAGCTCAGAATCTGGTCACTATTAAGTAGAATAAACACATATGTAGAGAAAAAGGGTCCAATTGCTAATATAGCCATGCTCTGCCTCTCCTGGCTTTTGTAGGGAATGGATAATTTAGATAGGAAGGGAGAAGACCTATATATGCTTTCTAAAATTTTTAGCCTAACAAATTAATATGATAAGAGGCTAAAAATCCTGCAGAATAACGAGCAGAGGACTATCTTACGCTCTAAATGATGAATTCCCGGGTGCTTCAGGTGCTATAGGCATAGTAACTGGCAAAGAGTAACTATGACTATGTATAAAACAGAAATTAGTGGGCTTCACAACTGAAAAGGCAATTGACTTACATTAAAAAAATTCATGCTTTGAGAACAGCAGATAGTGTAATGGTTATGCCGCTGGACTCCCACATAGTCAATCGCGGTTTGAGTCCCAGACCTGGGGGCTTACTACTCACTCTGGGTGCATGTGCCCAAGATTCTGAGAAAGAACCGGGGAGAAGAGATTGTGGCATGGTCATTCCCCGTAGGGGGTGATAGCTTACTTTCTGTCTCTCTCTCTCTGGTGAGTGCACATGCCCTACAGCAAAAATCTTTCTTAAAAAAAAAAAAATTCATATTTTGGCCCAGCCATGGTGGCACAGGTAGTAGGGTACTGGCCTGCAGTGCCAGAAGTCCCATGACTGACTAGGGGTTCAGATGCCCAGTCAAGCTAATAAGAAGAGTCAGATGTGCCCACCCAAGACGCTAACTAGCTGGAGAGCTGGTCAGATGCTCCCACCCAAGACGCTAACTAGCTGGAGAGCTGGGGGTGGGGGGGGGGATTGCTGCATGACAACACCTCGTCAAAAGTGCCTGTCTCTTTTTCTCGTGTGCTCTTATGTTGTCTCTTTCATTAAAAACAAAAACAAAAACAAAAAACCTAAAAATACTTCATATTTCACTGTGTTTATTTCTCCAATTAAAGGTGCAATCAAGGGATGAGCAGTTGGTTTAACAGCTACATCACTGGACTCCCATGAAGTCGACAGTGGTTCGAGTCCTGGACCTGGTGGCTTAAACTCACACCAGGCACATATGTGTGCGTGCCCAAGATCCCAAGAGGACAATGGAAGCAAAGGGATTGCAGCGTGGCCATCCCCCCGGGGGGGGACTTCTCACTTTCTATCTCTCTGTCTCTGTGTTTCTGGCGAGTGCACGCACACTATGGCAAAAACCTCTCCAAAAAAAAGGGCACAATCAAAACATCAGATTTACATTGAATTTTCTGTAGGACTCGAGACTGAACACATGCCTGTGTGAGTATAGGAAAACTCGGGATGGTGTCACTTCTCTGCCTTAAATGTTGATTCATAAAGTCTGTACAGTCAAACACTTTAATAAAATATTTTATGTTCTCTGCGAGCCACATATGGGATTGTAGGTGTCAACATTATAAACTTTCTCCTACTAGTGGAAGATAGAAAGAAGTATTTTGGGAGGGGTTAGAGATGCTAAGTGAGCATTTTAGAAGGGTTGAGTCACAAGATTAGGATGTCATTGGAATGTGGCAGTAGTGTTCACGGCCTACGCTCCTTGATTACGGAGTTCCCCACGCCAGTTCTGCGTATGTGCTGCTCTTCACGAGGGTTTTGCATTCAGCAGCACACAGTAAAGTGACACAGAGAGGTTGGGTCCTCAGGAGTCTGGGACCAGTCTCAGAATAACCTCATTACCAATGGCTCAAAATTCAGTTTTTCAAAATTGTAGGATTTTCAGGTTTTCACATAATGGAAATAAAATAGAACAGAACAAAACAAAAAACCAGACTTTAGAATGGATGCTCATGCACAATACGCTAGCACAAGGTAGTTTTAAAATCTGGATGTAATCTCCTCTTAGATAGAACCAGCATTTCAAAACATTACTTAACAAAAATGGCAACTTTCTAAATAACAAACGTGGAGAAAGTAATCGCACCACAGTGTTACCTTATTCAGTAAGAGTGCTTAAAGAGCAACTCATCTGGCAGTCTGTAATTCCCTACGCGGCCTGTCTTCTTACCATGATACCCCTAGGAAAAAAAAAAATAATTCTTTAAAGAAACATGTACATTTGGCAAACTATCTAGGCTTTCAAATAGCAGGTTGACTTTCCCCGGCCCCATTGGCATTATTTTCTTTAGGGGGTCACCCGAGAAAGGTCTGTTACATATATCAACCTTTCCTACTGCCTTTAAAAACTCTTTTCTGGGGGTTTACAAAATTCTAAAAACCTATTAGAAAGGTGACTCATGTGTGTAATCTTGGCCTTTACTCAGCCAATAAAGGCCATTACCAATAGAAAAATAACTATAATGATTAGTTCTTACCAATGAGGAGGATAATAAATTAACATCTTCTAAATTTAAACTAAGGAATTTAGACTCTATGACATTATACAGAAGCAAATGATTTAGAAATAACTTAAAATTAGGCAAATGATAAAAAAAAATCACTTTTGCTTGATTTTCAAGTATAGTTTAGATCTTATAAAGAGCAAATCAGTACCATTTACTTTTCTTGTTCACCCTGTAAACGGGTTGGGCCATTGCCAGAAATCTGAGTTCTTGGAAGAGCCATTTAAATCTTCATACAAATTGATTCAACACTGTAAAAACTTAATGATTAAAATTTAAAATCAGTTTACTACATCTGAGTTGATCTTAAAAAAGAAATCAGTCTTTGGGAACAGAGAGGTAGAACTAAGTCTGGATTAATAGAATTTACAGTTCAGTCATGGTGAATTTAAAAAATACATTTTTCTTTCAATAATCATTTTAGGTTCTAAATGAGGTAAAATTTATAAAATCTGCATTAAAGTAATGTTGAGGGCACTCTGGTGATAACAATGGTGAGGTTTATTTTTGTCAGAATGTCCGAGGGAAACACGAGTTGCCGTTTGTCAACTGTGAACTCCATACTGCATTGCCCAAGGATAGAGAAATGAATGGGTATCGCTCTGTTGGAAAATCCTCACAGAAAGGCCAAATTCAAGGAATCGGAAATCATTAAGCCTTTCAAACAAACATTCGCGTAGGACTTCATTGCTGTATCGACAGGTCCTTTGGGTTACGATAGATGGGGAAGGTAGAACTGAGACCCTTTCCGGCCTGTCTCATTTCAGAAACACATTTGTGAGGGCATCGCACACATACCTGGATCAAGCAAAGCACTAGAACGTACTGACAAACGAGATCGAAATAAATAAGAGAAAACGAGCTGTTTCTAACACCCAGAAATAGTGGTGATTACGGGAAGAAATGAAAGGGTAAAAGTTTTCACTGTAGCACCATGAACTGTGATGAAATCCCATTTCTATCACTGGCAGGACTGTATGCAGTTAGGAAGCGAAGGTGATGAGCTCGAGGCAAAGTCGATGTCGGCTTCGAAAACAGAAGCTGGGTTAACATTTTAGAGCACAAGGAAATCGTGAATGCAAACTGTAGAACACTCCTTTGCTCTTCCTCTTAGGTAGGTTTTCCTGAACTGGGCGTAGCAGTTGTAGGAGCATTTTTTGGAAGAGGAAATCCAAGTCCTAATCCTTTTGGCCTCTGCATGGCTTGAATTGGTTCAGAGATCCCCTTGCCGTCTCGTCCAAGGCCTGACCCAGGGGTCCAGCCCATATTCTGAAGCATTCGGTTTCCAATGTTGTTTTCGAGGATTGGCTGGGCATTTTCACCTACAAAACCTGAAAGAATAAAATGACAATATACATGAGAACAGACACAGGTGAAGATCTTCTTAGGCTACAAAAATGGTGTTTTCTTAAGTTCTTTCTTTCTTTCTAGAAAGTATTAGAGATGGTAGTTTATTCCTCCTTGGATCCTTGAACAATCAAAGAAAGATCTCACTTAGGATTTCAGTTTTAACACTCAGTAGTAGAGTAAGTTATTTAACCTCTCTGTACTTTTGTTTTCTTATCTATAAAACAGGCAAAATACAATGTTCACTGCTATCTTTGAGAAAGCTGTAGGATCAGGGACCAGCAGATGGTATAGTGGTTAAGGCACTGGACTGCCATATGACTGCAGTCCAAGTCCTGGACCTGGCGGCTTGAAATTCATGCTGGGCACGTGTGTGTGTGCCCCAGATCCCAAGAGAAGAGTGCAGGAGAAGGGACTGCATTGTGGCCATCCACACCTCCTTCCCCCAGGGGCACTTTTTCTGTCTCTGTTTCTCTGGTGAGCATACGAGCCTTATAGCAAAAAATCTCTCTCTCAAAAGAGTGAGAGAGAAAGTTGTAGGATCAGTTAAAGGAAAAATGAGATCACACATGTAAAGAAGAAAGATTTCAGTAAGCCATGAAGTAGTCTACAAATGCATTTATTTTCATTACATAAGCCTGATGGATAATTCTGAAAATCACCAACTTTTACCGTAATACCTTACATTTGTCCAGAAACTTGACATTCAACAAAAGAAAAACTAATAACCAAATCTAACCAAAAACACAATTGATGGTATTCTTAGTTTCTTGGAGTTTACCTTCTTATAATCCTCTTTTTATAATTAATTAGTCAATCTATAACACATGCATTCTTTAATTCTCTTCCTCCTTCTTCCATGACCACATTTTAATGACTATAAAAGGAAGGTAAGGAAAGAAAAGTAGAGGGAAAAATTCTGACATTTTATATAAATCAATGTATGTGAGGAGTCTTCAAAAAGTTAATGTAAAAATGTGGTGCATGGAAATCTATGCAGATTTCAAAATTTTTTATACTAAAATAAATTTGTACTTTAATTCTAGTTTCCAGAACGTTCTAATGTACCCTCATAGCTGCTGTTTCCTCTATTTTCTTAGAAAACACAACTGAGAAATGTGTGTTACAACCATTTTTTTGTTGATGAATTTTTTTAAAGCATGCCTGATTGTTCTTTCTTTTTAAAAGTGACTGTTTCAATATATAATTACAGTTGAAGATGACATGTTAGAAAAGTGTGGGGGGGGAGCAGCAAGTGATGTGATGATTAAGATGCTAGACTCCCACACGGCCAACAGTTCTAGTCCCGAACCTGGCGGCTTGAAAATCATGCTGGACACATGTGTGCGCGTGCCCAAAATTCCAGGAGGAAAAGGGATTGCAGCATGGCTATCCCCTCAGGAGGGGAGTTCTCATTTTTCCTCTCACTGTCTCTCTGTAGCGAGAACACACACCCTATGGCGAAACCTAAAACAAAACAAAACAAAGGCAAGCGCATTGAAAGCACAAAGTGCTCAGAGACTGGGCTCTAGAAACTGAGACCAGAGAGGAACATGATTAAAAATGTGTGAGCGATGCAGCCCTCAGTGGGGAGTGGGGTGGGTGGACAGAGCCCCACATCTCAGTCAGGCTGATCTTCTGGGTGAGCAGCCCCTGGAGTGGCCTGGCTGAGCAGTCAGAGCTTCCAAAGGGGCTCCAGGGGCAAAAGGACATTTCGTTGATGACATTTTTTTTTTTTTTTGAGAGGTTTTTGCTATAGGACGCGTGTGTTCGCCAGAAAGACAGAGACGGCGAGAAATCACCCTCCAGGGTGATGGCCACGCCACAATCCCTTCTACATTCTCCTCTCGGGATCTTGGGCACGCATGCACACACATCCGGCATGAGTTTAAGCCACTGGGTCTGGGACTCAAACCATGGTCGACTACATGGGAGTCCAGTGACATAACCATTATGCCAACTGCTGGTCTCTGTTGATGATAGTTTTAGAGAAAGACTTCTAATGAATTCTTGTAGGCCCATATGGAAATAGTTATGCATATATTTTGGTTCCATATTTTGGTTCTAGAGAAAAATCTTAGAAAACACTAAATATCTAAAGTGAAAGGGCTGAGAAATTAACACACATCATAAAAGTAAATGAATCACTGGAACCTGAGTTCCTCCCTCCACTTGCAAGCTTTGTCTGTCTCTACTGGTTATGCTGGGGGCTGGCTCTCTGGAACTGGTCCATTTCTGTTCATCTTCTAGCAGCTCTAGATCACAGAGTATGATAGAGGAGTAGAGCAAATCCAGAGCTTGCCAGACACAAGCAACCCGAACTCCTAATTGCCAGAACATTTCTTTTGGTTACTCCCATTTCAGAAGAAAAAAGTAATTCTCAAACAAACTACTGTGGAGGGCAGGCCCCATAGCACACCAGTTAAGCACTGTGCATAGGAGCTGGATTTCACATGGTCAACCATGGTTCAATTCCTGACCCTGGTAGCTTGACATGCAGGGTGTGTGCGAGTTTCCCAAATCCTGATGGGATGGAGACATGTAGGAAAAAGGGATTGAGGCATAACCATGCCCCAGTGAGGGTGGTGGTGCTTTCTCTCTCTCTTTCTCTCTGGCAAGCACAGACATCCTTTGTCAATACAAACGAAAAATAAAAGTTTCAAACTAATATTGGAGATCATGTGAGAAGGAAAACAAGGGAGGGGGGATGAAAAAATTTTAAAATATTTGTCCTAGAAAGAACATAGCCGAGTCCTCTACACTGGGCCTTCCTAGGAGGTCTATTGTAGAACTCTGAGGTCACAAATCTAGAAATATAATGATTGGCCCTTATTCACTTCCTAGGCGTCTAGGGAGAAAGATGCCTCACTTTTCAAAAGACCCACTGGATTCCTGTGGTTTACCACCTCAGTCCTGGGTCTCATGTACTTTTGCACTGAAATGTGCACCGTGTCTACCTAGACAGAGGTTAAAATGAACAGCTGTTTACAAAACCACTCATCATTCTCAAAGGCTCCTGGGTCCGCACCATCCCAACCCTGCCCTGCCCCTCGGGTCCTCCAGAAAAGCTGGTATTCTGTCCTACTCCTGTTCTGACATGCCTTAAAGTAGGAGTCTTTGCGCTATCACTGTAGGGCGTGGGAAAGCTTTGAACAAAGATATAATCTACTGCTGGTCTTTACAGATAGAAGAAACTAGAGGGTCAACCAGAGAAGGCCAGGAAAGGCTGTTTAGAACCACGACCGCTCCACAGCTGAGGCACATGGCTTTGCCTCCCCCGTAAAAGAATGAGCACAGAATGACTCAGGACCAGGGCATTCTGATCCCCGTTCTTATTTGTCTGTCTTCTGTCAATCCACTGCCCTTTCACTCGGGGTACCCTATCTCTTTGACCCTGGGCACTGGCATTCAAGGCAGAGAAGGATCCTCAAGCATCAATAATAATGACAACCAAAATGAATTTTTATGTGTTCTTTGGTGTACATATATATATATATTTTTTTTTTTTTTGAGAGGTTTTTGCTATAGGGTGCATGTGCTTGGTAGAGAGACAGAGAGAAAGAAAGCAAGAAATCACTCCCAGAGGGGATGGCCACGCCGCAATCCCTTCTCCTCCCTTCCCCTCTCAGGATCTTGGGCACACACACACACACGCCTGATGTAAGTTTAAGCCACCGGGTCCGGGACTCGAACCACAGTTGACTATATGGGAGTCCAGCGACATAGCCATTACGTCAGTTGTGGGTCCCTTGGTGTAGGTACTTCACAGTAAAAAATAAGATAATTTTAAAAAGGTCAATGTTGACCAATAGTCAATCTTATCTAGTAATTTTGTATCTGACATTTTGGGGAACATCAAGTAGGCTGTTTTCCATAATTCCAATTTGTAGAAGAAGGAAAACTACAAAGTACTAGACAGGAATTTTAATAAGTTTAACTCTCTTACTTACTATGAAGTAATCGTCAATAGGTCTTCAAAGTCCTTTACTGTACATTTTGTTACTCTAACTACTCAGTGCATTTAGGACTGGGAGTAGAAATTGTTGCCACTTGCTAAATTTAATAGAAGTAAATACTGGGTTACAATAATAATCAGTTTGCTTTTGCACTTACCAAATGGGTTCTTAGTTCATTGAAACAAGTAACGAGTACTTTAACATGTTACAGGAAAAACACACACACACACACACACACACACACACACACAAAAACCAAAACCAAAAACAACCTTTTTCCTATCTTTCTTCTTTCTTTTTCTTTTAGAGCTTTTTGCTATAGGTGCTCTCCGGAGAGACAGAGAGAGTCAGAGAGACAGAGAACATGAAATCACTACCTCCCCGCCCCAGGCGTATGGCCACGCCACAATCCCTTCTCCTCTATTCTCCTCTCAGCATTTTGGGCATCCATGCACACATGCTCGGCATGAGTTTCAGGCCACTGGGTCCTGGACTCAAATCTAGGTCAACCATGTGGGAGTCTAGCTGCCTAACCACCATGCCACCTCCCGACCCCCAGAAAAAGCCTTTGACTAGGCATCTTGAATGCCAATATCTGATGTCAAAGAAAAATTCTTGACTAATATTATTCACCGAGTGATGAGGGCAAAATATGCATATGCAAAGATTATAAAAATACATATGCTTGTGAGGGAGGAAAAAAAGAATCTCTTAGTTTCAAAAATACAAGCTGTTTGTCAGAAATCTTGCTTAATATAACTAAAAGAGCAATTTTTTTTTTTTAATTTTGAAATTATGGTTATGGTGGCAACCCCAGTAGACCTCTAGAGTATTTAATTTTTTTCTGAACAGCTGCTGATCAGGTAGACCAGGCTGAATTGTGCACTAGCATCTTGTCTTACACCCTGATTTTTCAGTGGTTGCCAATTTAATTTTATCCATGAGCTACAATCAGATCAGAGGTCGAATGCCACTCTAGGCCACACATCTGTTTACTCCTCTTTTTGATACGACAGCTTGTAGAAGTT